TCTGCAGTTTCGATCCACACGAAGATCAACCGTGAATGACTTGCTTCGTGCCAACGCGACGTCTCGCGTTTATCTTAAAGCGCGAGACTCGAAGGTGTCCGGGTGCCAAAGGATGCGTTGTCTCCCGACGATACTTTGGCAAAACAGGTGAAGGAAATGTTATTACGGCGTATCGATATTTTTGTGTACATACACCCTAGGCACAACAAGAAGAACGAAGAAGATACATATAGGTGTACCTACCCACGCGAACAGTAGAGAATAACTGTGTAGAGATAGGTTGCTCCGCGTCGACCAACGTCGCGTTGACCGCCTTTTCCGAGTGAACTTTCACATTCTGATCGCGCGAGAGCTCGAACAGCCGCGAAGGTCACCTCTGGTTGCTCCGAATCGAATGCGAGTGGGTTACATACACGTATGTTTGTATGCGTCTATGCATAATATGTTCGTCCTTACGCGAAAAAGAAAGACGAATTGCTACCTACGCTTTGGGATCCGAGTCGAATTCAAATGTCGTCTACAGCTCCCTCCGAGATTCTGCCAGTCGATGCTTCCTCGTGTCGCTTCTCTCGACCCGTCCCGATACGTCTCGATTCGAGGACCTTCGAAGAAAACGATAATTCTCGAATGGTCCGCGATAATTAATCGTGAACCGACGCGACGCAACGCGCCTATCGGAAAGCTCGCGGCCCGACGAAGAGACTGCATTAGCGTGTCGAAAACTCGTCGGCATAGATAGGGGAATGCGAGCATGAAACGCGAGTCGAAAGGAAAGTTTACCTAGATGTCGAGCAGGGGGACCGAACAAAGGGTAATACGGGCAACGGTGGACCTTGCACCGCTCTGAATATGCATAACGAGCCCGAGTTCCGATCGCAATCCCCCACGAACGGTGTCAGGTACTCTTGACCCGACGACAGTTTTGTCATGGTAATGCGTCTACTTTGTATTTTAATGGTCGGAAAGAGATTATGCGAATAAACACGACCAAGCAACCGCTACGCTACGCTTCGCGTTCACGATTCCAAGGCGGCCGCAAACCTTTGCCGATGGATTTTTTATTTTCAAACGCATGGAATCGAACGCGACAAACTTTTCACACCACCGCTAACACGGGCACATCGAGAATTCTAGAATCAATGGACGGGAAAAACGTGGCGACGACACGTCGCGCAACACTCCGTCGTTATCAATCTTAATCCGCGTCGCCTTGGAATCCCGTCAAAGTCATCCGTTCACGTTCATACGAAATGGTTTTACATCGGAGTCGCAGCCGCGGGGTATCACGCGGACCGATTTCTCGATAAACTTGCTTAAACGAACAATGTTCATCGTAATTTGCGTTCTCTCTACGGACCAACCATAATTTTCGGATGAAAAAACGAAGAAAAACCAGAGCGAAACCGAACGTTGGAGCTTGCTTCATAAAACCCATTCTTTTTTAATCGTCTAGGTGTGGCGTTCGAAGTCTATACTACTAATCGTAAGTCGATTTGTCCTTTCTCGTTCGCACGGCAGATGCTCGAACGCGAAAACTCATGCCCAAAACTATCCCCTTCCGCCGTTTCGGATTCCCCATGGGAATTCGATCTATCGCCGACATTGTGGTTCCGTTTCGAGACTATGCGAAGTCGTACGCAAGAGATATATCATAGGGTGTACAGAAGGTGGTTTCGTCTCGTACGAAGAATCGAGGCTCGACCGCCAGCCGGATTACTAATCATTTCCCAGGTCTGAGAAACCTCGCTAATTGATTAGAGTCACGATCCTGACCCTGCCGTAATATCGGCAATCTCTTCTTGGCGCACGTTGGGGAGAAAGCTAGTCATCGGGGACAGAGAAAAACGAATGAGCGAGAAAGAGAGAAAAAGGGAGAGAGAGAAAGACGGAATGAAACACAAGATAAAGGAGGAAAAAGACAAAAGGGTAGATACTATACTATCTTTTTCTCCCGCTCCCTCTCCCTCCACCTCCAGCTTTACCTCTACCTCTACCTCTACCTCTACCTCTACCTCAGTCTCCTCGTATGTTGGCCTCGCGTAATTTTTACCATCTTGCTCCGTCTCCGCTCCTCTCTTCCCTTTTTATATTCTCCTCCTGTCCTCTTGGTCGTTTTGGTTTGGTTCGGTTGCCCCGGACGTTCGTTCGAGCAGGCCGACTATCCGCCTTCGTCGTCCTCCCATTGTTGCATCGTTCCAACCCCGCAAGGGAAACAATGTCTAATTTCAGTTAATGCGGCCATAATGGGCATCGTCGTTGCTGCGTCGTATGCTTCGACTCCGAGAGATAACTGAAATCCACATTGGCGTTCCCCGATGTCTATCCTACGAGCTACGTCGACAACACCTCTTCCTATGCGCGTCGCCTCACATGCCTCTTACGATAATTTCTCGTGAACTCTCGGTTCTGTTTTAACGTGGAGCCGGTCGAGAAACAGCCGCCACACGAGGGCAACAAATCTAATTTGTTCTTCACTGGGAAAACCATCGGTAAGAAATACGTGATCGAAGAAAATTCGACGCAGAACATAACGACACGTCGACGAGATTCGACGACTATACGATTCGGCTTGTTGGTCAAGAGTTGCTCGAGAGGTAAAGCGGTTTCGAGGGACACGAAGTCGCGGTCGTTTTCCAAGACGCTACGAAGAGGTAGAGAAACGAACGAGAGAAATTCAGAAAACCTGTCGTCGTCGTCGTCGACGTAGACGTCAACTTCATCGTCATCGTCCGTCGTTGAGCACCCGCAATTAAGGGTTAATTAAATTGAGCGGCTTCCTAGATTTCTGTAATCATCGCGGACAGTATCTACGGGGTAATCTTGAGCGCATCCTGTCTGCCTCGGGGGCCCCACGGAAGGAAGGGGCCCCCGAGGTAAGGTCATGCACCCCGCTGACCTCGGACCACCGACTCGTCTTCTCTTTCCCCCTCGTGACCCCTTCCCCTGCTGTTCTCTTCTAGCCCCCTACCAACACGATTCACCTCGCTCCGCTCCCCATCCCTCACCGCGGTTCGCGTTCCTCAACCGAGCGTCCTTCTTGCCTTTAACGTTCCTCCTTCTTGCTCTCTCTTCTTTTCCTTTCTTCTCTCGCCCTTCCTCCTCGTCCTCGTTCTCATCTTCGGCTTTGACTTGAACATTGGTTACGGCTACGGCTACGGCTACGTCTTCGTCTTCGTCTTCGTCTTAGTCTTGGTCTTCGTCTTCGTCTTCGTCTTCGTCGTCCAGTATTACACCACCGATACCGATGCCGATGCTATTCAACGACGCAGCTGTTAATCCTTCTCGCGAACTCGCTTTCTCCTTTGGCTGGATCATCTCTTTCCGTTCAACTTCTTATATTCCTAACCACCTTTTTCTTTGCCTGTCCTTCTCCTTTGCTTCCCTTCGTGTTCTTTCGCGCCCCTTCTTGCACGCGTTTAACCTCTTCTTCTCCGTTACATCGTATTTCTCATTCGCTGGCGAAGGTTCGCGAGGCAAACGTATCGAGCCAGCGAGGACGGAATCGCGTGCCTTGTGCGAGCGAACGTTACGAATTAATAAGCGGACGTCGCCAGGGCAAGGCTGAAAACGCGAGCCGTCTTCTCGTGGGAAAACACAACGTCGAGGTTGTAACGCGTATATAATAAATTCTTGAGGGTGATTACTTGAAATTATGCCTCGCAATGTGGACACGTTCGGTCAAATTTTACGCTTACCCCGCGATATCCTGCATGGTATGTCCGCGAAGTATCTCTCGACCGCGCTCCTTGACCGTTCGTGTCGATGACCGTCTCGCTAGCGTTCGCCTCGAACAAGGTCAGATGCTATCTAGCTACGAGATAGGGTGGGACGGTGGGTGATGTGGAGGGGATGGGGAAGAAGAGAGAGAGAGAGAGAGAGAGAGAGAGAGAGAGAGAGAGAGAGAGAAAGAGAGACGTAATGTTGTGCGTGTGTGTGTATGTGTGTGTATGGAAGACAAAGATCGGAATAACGTGAGTGCAGGTAAAAGGTCGAGCGAACGGGAAAATGGAAGAAAATCGGCTGTTTTAGGTGACACGGATGCGGAAGCGGAAGATCGTAGTAACGTCGAGGAATCACGATCATCGCGACAGCTGCGACGAGAGAGAGAGAGAGAGAGAGAGAGGGGGAGCCGGTTGGCGAGACTCGAGGAATCGCGAGGGTCTGGCAGCGGGTTGGAATGAACGAGAGGCAAAACCTCGGACGGAAATAAGTACACCTGGGTCGACCGCGTCGGTGACCAACTCGTGCGTGCTCCAACAAGGTCAGATGTTATCGTGCCGCGAACAGCCAAGTTCAACAGGCGAAAAAGGAGTAAATCTCGGAAGGGGAGCGGCGTGGGAATCTTTCCGGAGTTTTTCGTGGGCTGCGCCCCGCCCTGGCCCAGGTGCGGCAGCTTTCTCGCGGACTGCTCTGAACCGCGAAACAAACTCTCGCCTAGCCTCGTGATTTGCTCGTCTAAATCAAAGGGATAGGCGGAAGGAGGAGACGCGTGGCACTTTCTTTGCGTCTCGACGATGAACCGACCAATGTCTCGTCTCTACTCGCGTCGCATCGCATACGCGTGGAACGAAGATCGAGAGTATCGATACCGGCTCGCTGGTCAAGAGAGAAGACGTCGAGGAACTCGAGCGAGACCGAAAGGAGAACGCGTTTAGATATAAATACGCGGTCTTGTCTCGCGTTAGCGCAACGGGTTCCAAAGACGTTCGGCACTCGCGCGCGACGTTTAGCAAAACCATTGCGAACAAATCGAAACGTTTCCGCCTCGGTGAACTTTAGCCTTACGAACTTCGGCACGCGATTCGCGGCCGATTCTCTATTTTAAAGCCGCGTTCCTTTCGGCAGGATCGACCGTCGGAAACGCGTCGGATCGTCTCCGAACGATTCGATGGAATGCGGTGGTATGCGGTGGTATGCGGTGGTATGCGGTGGTATGCAGTGGCTACGCGATACGCGATACGCGATACGATCTATTGCGTGCGATGTGTTTCGGTACGTACCTTCCCGTCGCATGCCCATCTTCAGGCACTTTTTCAACCGACAAAACTGGCACTGATTCCTATGGTGTTGGTCGATGGGACAGTTCCTATTCCCCCGACACGAGTACGTTAGGTTTCTCCTGACGCTTCTCTTGAAGAAGCTTTTGCATCCTAAAAAGAGGCAAAGTTACAAGTTATAATGTCGTATTTTTTTTTCTTTTTTTTTTTTTTTTTTTTTTTTGCTACATCCTTTCTTTTCCCGTAAGAATCTAGTCGCGGTTCGCGATTGCATCGATCGAAGCTGAAAACGTCGCGACGATCGACGAGAACCACATGGACAAGAATATGGGACTACATACATGGATTTTCGGAACTATAAGAGCGAATTGATTGGACGAAACGCGAACACATAGTCTGTGTGGTCGAAACGATAGTCTTGCCCAGGTCGAATCTCCCACAATACATATTGGCAGGCTACCGTGAACGCGACGTTTTCATCGTAATGTGTCCTACATCATAGGCTGGTAATCCACCAATCGATGACAAACGTTTGCAAACTTTCCGAATGACCGTTTTCCAGTTACAAAGATTTCTCAGTGGTTTAGAACGAGCACGATCACGGTGAATCGTTTTGGACTACGAGGAATAGACTAATCGACCAACTTCAGTGATATACGATAAATACGTTGCTTCTATCTATCTGTTCCACGTTCGTTACGCAATTGCCGGTTTCATCGTACCATCGACCGAAAACTTGTTTGAAAATCTTCGATTACCCGAGAAAAATGCTATTATTGTAGGCACCCTATGCATACATATACTCGTCGGAAAAAGAATCGTTATCCTCGAGGTTCGTCTCGCGTCACTCTACCTCTGTTCCGCTTTCGTAGCGTTTATCGTTGTGCCCTTGAAAGATAGCCTCTTCGAGGAAAGTATGTATTTCGATTCCAAGTGGTCAGCGACGATCCGGCAGGGGACAAGAAGAGCCGATACGCTAGAGGCTAACGCATCCAGAATCGAGAGATCTCCGACGATGAACGGGATGACGCGAATCGAGTAATTGGAAGAAATTAAGAGTCAATTCATATCGCGACAACAAAGCCTCCTCTGTGTAGAAACCCTCGAATTCAGATAAACGAGATGCCCTCGATGATCGAGCGGCGATCGTGTATTCTCGACTTTGGCTAATGGCGATTGCTTCGTCCACACGGCGAACAATCATCGCGTATCGTTCAAAAATTCAAACGCCGGTTCATCGAGTTCCGATATTTCCAGGCTCGATTTGGTCGAGAACAAAATCTTCTCTAGATAAAATTCGGCAAGAAACTGTTTGCACAAGAACTGTGTGGGGTCACGAGAATGGTACCGTAACTACGATTGCATCTACAAATAGGTACTATTCGAAGGGTAATGATTCGAGATTCGAACAACATTCTTGAAATAGTGGACGATATAGATGAAATGAAAAAAGAAGAAAAACGGATCGCTCGTTTGCTCGTCTCCTTGGGCGCAAAGTCTGTCGCGCGAGCGCCAAGCTGCAAAGAATCGAGCGCAAAGGTTAAAGCACTGCTGCGAATGCGGGTCCGTTCAAAAAATCCGCTTGGTCGAGTTCGACCGAATCACGCCAGACACGCACGAGCAACGAGCTCGCGCGGCTATCGCACCGGACGCTTTTCTACTCGGTACTTTTCGTTGCCACCACTGTCGTCGTCGTCGTCGTTGTCTTTGCCGCTCGCATCCTCGTCGTGGTCGTAATCGTTGTCGCCGTCCATGTTACGAAAGAGTCTCTGGGGTCGCCATAACTACAAATTGCATCGTTACACGCAAATTACGCGATTATAGTACGCGAGTCAACCATCGAGAAACGCTGCATACGTGCGCCGTAGTGGCGCGAGAGAAAACAGAGAAATGGATCCGAGGAAAAGGGAGAAACGGAGGAAGCCCTCCCGCGGAGAAAGAGAGAGGAGAACGCCAAGAGAGAGGACGAGATGAACGGAGGAAAAGAGAGAGAATGAGCAAGAGAGATTCGAAACAACTACTGTTTATACTTTCAGATTGCAGCTTGCACGGCCCTCGAGAGCTCAAATTGCTCGCGTCATTGAATTTTCATTGCTCTGCCTGCCTCGTTCGCAGCCATTCCACTCCGAGCAGTAAAGTCGAAACAACGTTTCTTCGTTCCGTTCGGAAGTACATATTCCGCGTACGAGTTTAGAAATCATCGATCCATACTTCGATCAACACCTATATCGATCTAGGTGTTCCTTAACGAGCTATCCGAGCGAGCGACATCCCAGGTCTCTTTTCAACGATGCTCTTTCTACATCTCTTCCCGCTTGCCGTTACTAAGATACCAGCTCCGATGTTTCTGGTTGCAGTCCAAGAGACGCGAGACAGACGAAGAGGAAGGGATGCACTGACGCGACGGATAGCGATAAACGGATGTGAATTACGACTCGAGAGTAAACGGGGAAACGGAAGAACGGAATAAAGGAAGGGAATAGGTAAATAGGAACAGAGTGGCGGGACGATTCGGTCGGTAACGTTTCGAGTCGGCCGCGTAAAATTAACGACATTGTTATAATTAATTAGCAGACCGGCGGTGTGTTGTTCGGTCAGAGTGGTACGTAGATAGCGGGGGCTTCGTTAGCGAGATAATTGGTCACAGAGGATGCGTTCGGGATGCGTCGCGCTTCGTAATTCTATGATCGATGCATGCACCGCCACCGCCTCCACTGCCGCCGCAAAGGTACACACCAACCAGCCACCGTCCGACCAAAAGACCGGCCGGCCGGCATGGCATCTACCTGAGCGCATACGATGCGAATCGCGTGTGCAGTCGCGTAACGCGCTTTTGCTTCAAAGATCTTGTTGCCGTTAGTTGACGGCTCGCCTCTCGTAGTAAGCGAAACTAACGAGAACAACGCGAGCCCACCGCGTTCCTCTTCTTCTTCTTCTTCTTCTTCTTCTTTTTCTTCATCTTTTTCTTTCGATCGTCGGACGATACACTCGCGATGCAATCTCACCTTCCCCTCGTGATCGCGTGTCTAAGGAATTTTTACCGGTGCAGATCTCCGATGATCATTCACACCAAAACCAAAACTTCCCTATCTTTTTCGTCTTGTTATATTTATTAGGTACTGCTAATCGCGTATCACTGTAATCCTACGTACGCGAAAATGGTGGTACTACTCCTGATAATCCCCCTGTGTCGACTACGCTTTACGATAGTGACACATTTCGATTTCATTTTTTCCCATACCGCAATTTTCAAATTGATCGACACGCGATAAATGGTGGTCGATCAAACGATACGACGAGTTGTCAAACAACGATCGTTTCAAAGCGGACGAATCGTTTACGAGGCACGCAAGAGTATTCGCGGTTGTTTCGGGAAACAATGCGACCGCGGAGAATAGCTACGCACGCGCCTCGAGGAGAAATGAGATTAATAAAGATTAGCAAAGTTGGAATAATATAATATGATCTCATTAGAGCGATTAGCTCGCGGAGCAGGCTGCAGAATGTCTGGCTTCTTCCAGCGCGCGGTGGGGTACGCCGAGTATAAGTCGGTAAGTCCGTAAGTAACTGTAAGACTCGGAGGGAGAACCAGAGACCCCGAACAGGAAGCCCTTTGCGGCGCGGGTGTACCACAGACCGCGAGACCGGAATTAAATTTCCTTTTCTTCTTTTATCCGCGAGACGCGAGACGCGTGCACACGTGCACACGTGGTCGTCTCGGACGACATTCTATTTTCATTGATGCGACAAAGATATCGATCGGTATTCTCATCGATCAACCGTACCAGCTCTCCCCATGATCGTTAACTAGCTACCACCCCGTGATTTCGTTCGATCCTCTAATTCTAGCTTTATCGTTCGTCTCTTTTCGGTTCTCCTGTTCGAGAGAATTTCGACGCATCTCGGACGGACCAAGGACGAACGTTTTCCGTAAAGTAATCCAATGCTGTGTCGTTAGAACTGCAGGTACCATCTGGGGAAAACTGCTACAGCAACGACCATGTACGAGATACATATTCTAAGAATGTACGAACCATTTCAGGAACCTTAATACGAGAATCGATTTGATATGTTCAGAAAAATGACCTAAAGTATGTAGTAAGTCGGTATTTGCATAGGAAGATTCGAGGACGAGTATGTTCGTTAAAATGGTTCGGTTACGTAAAGGAAGTGACTCGATCGAAACGAGCTCAAAGTCTACGCGAGGAATTAATGTTATCATCGTGACATGTGGAAAACATACGTATCCGTATATATGTACACGCGTACATACATATTTGCGCGTACGCGTGTAAGTCGGCGGCACAAAGAAATCAATTTACTCTTCCCAAACGACGGTTTTGAGTCTCACGCTTTCGATTCGACAAAAGTACAAGAATTGAACGCAACGCACAACCAAATACATACATATGTAGAACGTATACATACCTATGTATATCTAAGCAACAGTGTTACATCGCGAGAAGCTGTTAAAGTTCGCGTCAATGAACTTGTATCGAACTTACATATTTTCTTATACGCTTTCTCCGAGAGCATTTGCAATTGAATAATTTGTAAAAAATTGTTACGTCTCACCTCATTGTTACGTGTGACGGAACGTTTTAATCGTATAAAAATTATATTAAATTAAATTAAATCCAAAAACCCTCGCGTCCTAGTCTTTCCATGTGCACGTACATAGGTACGTAGGTGGGCACATAGATATATGTATGTATAGGTAGCAACAGTTTCGGTTGTTGACAGTCGATTTACTCGACTAGAAGCAAAACAACTTTTAAACAACTCTCGACCGATCGTTTAACGTTTAACGCAACGAACCGTCCCGACGCGTCCACGTTGTTTCCTCTATCCCATTCGGTCTCTCGTCGAGTGAAATTCATTTGCGTTAAACAAGGAAATTCCAGCGACGAGAATCGCCGGGATGTCGGAAGAAAGAGCGAAAAGAGAACGGCAATCACGAGGGTAGTCGAGGTCGAACCGCGAACGACTATTGCGCAATAACCAAAGACGAAGAACCTTGCTCCAGACGCGGTACCGCGAATGGGAGGTTCCCGAGCCGCTGTAATCGGCAGATTAATGTTCGTTTCTCGAACCCAATCTAACCTAGTCCGGGCAAGTCCACCCGGACGGATTCGTTCGGAACAGCGTCCCGCGCGATGCAAGATCGTCGGTTTCTTCGGTGATCGCCAAGCATCGCCACCGAATTCATCGTTTACCAGGGGAACGATTTACGAGCTGGCAAGTAAAGACTGCACGCACGGGTTCTCTCTGCGGTTCCCAGCAACCCCCAGCAGCCCCCGTTATTCCTCCATTTGGGCAACTTCAACGAACCGGATACATAGCCAAGCTTAAAATTACGCGACGACAACGTGGACGTTAATATCGTTGACTATTAATTTGTTTCTCTACGAAACATTTTCGAAGACTCTCGCTTTCTAGTCAGCAATTCTTTCCCCGATAATACCGATACGAACCGCCTGCTCCTTCTCTGACTTGGATCAACGATGCGCTTTCTAGCTCGCGATCGCGACAATCGAACGCATCGAAAGCCAGTCCTGACAAATTGACGATAATTCGCGACCGTTTGACATCGGTTGACATCAAAATCAATTCGTCGTAATAAAGCGATCGCCGACAATCACCCTGATTACGCCAATGAACGTCCAATGTGGAAGGCGTATGCGCTGTGGCGTATCGGCCCATCCATGTTTCTATGATTCTCAATAAAGCGCTTCGACGTTCGCGTCTAGTCGTTGACGTCGACGCTGTCGTTGTTCGGCTGCTTCGATTCCTGTACTTACAATTCAACCGCCGTCTTACGTAAGAAATTAGCCACTGGATTCGAACACGAAATACGAAACGATGCGACGTTACGCGTCGCTCCGAAATTCAGTCTAGGTATAAGTATATAACAACATTTTCGCGAGAACTCGACGAACAACAGCCGCGTTCCTGATTTAGGAATACATATTTCAAGAAATCCCCAAGAAGAACCAGAGGAAAAAGTAAAAAAGGTAAGAAGTCACTGGGTTCATCTATCCGTCGCGTCGTCACGAAACCGCCGGGGGAAAATCAAGGGGTAGCGAGCAATTAAGATTACCACGAATAGAAATTATCGTCGGATTAAGCGCGTTATCGCGGTACCGCTAACAGCGCCAGACCGAGAGAGTGGCACGGCTTAACAATGGTAAATATCGTTAGCGCGACTGTAATTGGAACACCAGGGAGAGGAGTCGCCACTGTAACTCGACCGTTCAATTAAGAGGCAGACTCTTAACCCGCTCGAATCGTACGTTTCCACGCGTCGAATCTTCGTGCAGTCCGAGCCGGCACAAATTGTTGGAAATTAACGAACATCGAGGGAGAGGGACTCCCAGATGCCATCGCTTGTTCGCCGCGTATTATATTTAGCGGCGTTTTAAACGCTAACGTCATCGGTCCCTCGCCACCTAGAAACGATGCGTCAAGATCGCGTATACTATTGTACCCACATACGTGTCCTATGTATGTGTACTTAAAACAGCGTCGACGACAAATACGTACCTATACAGATAGTATCAGTACTATCAGATATAGTAGTACAACGCCACTGCGATTCGAGTTTTCTGTTTCGACTAAAAACGAATCGGCCATCTGCCTACACTAGATTCAAAGTTGTGGATCCAGAGGACGCGGTCCTGAAACTCAAAACGAGTCGCGCACGTCTTTGAAATCGAAACGCGAATAATTCCGGGGGATCGAAGAATCGTCTCTTTGTTCGGCTAATCACCGTCCTATCGACATCAACGCGAGTGGACATCTCGTACAACGAATAACGAATCGTCGGAAACAGAGGCGAATTCGAGACACGCGACACATTTTCGCGAGAGTATCCATGGATCTCCATTGTTACGGTGCGGCGATACGATTGGCTCGATGACTGCGACGGACGTTCCAGCGTTATCGTGGAAACGGTATGCTTTCGCGACGGACGAACGTTGCTGCAGAATTTCCTCGTAAATATTCGCCCGTGACTAGACTGAACGGCAATCGACGACGTAAATGCGTTCGACGGTGTATGTAGGTATACGTTATTCGGAAGTCAACGCGACCGTGCTCGGATTCGTACATACGGTACACGAAAGCGCGGACTAGTGTAGCTTTCGAGCGAAGGAAGGGGGGGAGGGGGAGGCTCAGGAACGAAGAAAGGGTGGGGAAGTAAGGGAGAGAGACAGCAAGTGCTCATGAATTTTAATGAGAGTTCGGTAGTCGGACGAGCAAGGCGACCCATTGGCGTGCAAAAATATCCAGAGTTGTTACATGCACCAGAAGAGATGGCAGAATGCACCGTCTAGATAGGTACTTGCTAGCTCCACGAAAAGAAAAAATAAATCAAAATGGTTGCGTGGCGCATAGTAAACTAGGGGCAGTCATCCGTTTCACGGTATTCGGAATGTAAACTTTAGCGCTTTTCGGAGATCAAACCTCGCGTCCCGTCGTCGCGACGCATTCGAGGTAAACGAAAAAAAACAAAATTGCGACGCGTGTTCTCCTTTCGGAAAGAATGCAGGGTAGACCGTTTCGACGCGTGACGGATTGAATAAAGAGATAGGACGCGATGAGGGGGGAAAGATGAACGAACGAGGAACGTAACCTTTGGAGGTGGTCGCCCTAAAATTTAAAGGGGTACGCGGGCATTCGTGTGTCGTATGCCGTTTATCGCGTACAGTTTCTGATTTAATCGCGACCAGGTGTCGAGCACTTGTTTCGGAATCGATAGCGTCTTAACAAAAAACAACAAATTTGATGATTGTTGCACTTGTGTTCCAGAACGTTTTAATCGTACATTGTAAAAAAAGGGTTTCAGCCGTAAAATTGAATTAAATTAAATCAAAGTAAAGAACATACGACGATGATCGTAAATGCAGTAGTTTTTGTGTCAGAGAAGTCCAGCTCGGGGAGAATTCAGTTCGTCGTTGTATCTCGGAGTACGCAGAAATCGCAGCGAAACGAACGAGCCGTCGTTAATCGGGACGATCGGACGCGCTAAATCACTCGCGAGATATAAATTACGAACAGCGATCCGGTATCAATAAGACGTAATTCGGGATAATAGGGGGTGAACGGCAACAAGAAGGGGAGATGCACCGGAAAGAACGAGCAAAGGCTGGGTCCGTAGGAGGATATACCTATAACTTCTGATTTCGGAGATAGCCCTATAGATTTCGATTAACCGATGTCGATCCACTCGCTCGGACCAACCACATCGAATGCGACATTTTTCTTCGTTACGACGCTCCCGGCCATCGACTTTTCGTGTTGCGGTTACCTGACAAGGTGAAGTAACGGATAAAGCGTTAGGTATACAAACAAAGTAACCGCCGGGACCGAAAACCTACCTCAAAGGATTCGAGATCGGATTTCGAGGGAAAAATCAAACTATGAAAAATTCCTAACAAATAAAGAGATAAACCGTCCCGTTTCCATACTCATTCGCTCTCCCCCTTCAAGTTTGTCCCTGTTTCGTCCACCGCAATTTCTCGGTCCCATTACATCGTTATTAGGCTTGTAACAGACGCGTAAACGTTCCAGGGAACACCCCACCGAGTTATTAATGGCGACTCTTTGTTTTTTCGTAGGCTCCCCTGGAGCAGCCGGACTCGGGACACGCCGCTCGATGCATGCTCCCCCTCGCTTCCACGTGCATGCCCCCTCTCTCAATCTCTCTCTCTCTCACTCTGTCCCCCTCCCCTTAACCCTGGAGGTGCAACAATTACCGTCGTCGACTAATTTACGTGGTTGCGAACGTCGCGATATCTGACCCATGTCCGAGATGTTTTCCATCTGGGCGACGAACAATCGTCGACAACGCGGTTCGGACACGCGTTGATAGAAAATGAAAACCGCAACACACGAACAATTCCAGAAGGGAAAAGGAAAAAGACTTACCCTCGCAGGTGAACTGCCCGTAGTGTTTACCGCTGCTCTTGTCTCCGCACACGACGCATTCGATGTTGGGCGATTTATCGGTTTGCGAGCTGCCCGACTGCGAGCTGTTCGCCTGGCTTCCGGGGGTAGTGCTCGGCGGCAAGGGGTCCCTGGGCGTGAGAACCGCTCCGGCGGGCACGAGACAGGTGATGTCCTCCGGCGTGGCGGAGGGCGTGAGGTGCGTCGGGGGCATCGGGGGCGGCGGAGCGATCTGTATGGGGCCCGGACCGGCGGCAGCGGCGCCAGCTGCGGCTGCGGCGGCCGCGGCGGCGGCGCCGGTCGCGGCCAAGCTGGCCCCAGGGTCCCGCGAGGGCCACGAGGGCGGCGCGGCTACCAACGCCATGGAGGCGGTGGTGCCGCGCGCCGGGAACCCCACCTCCAACGTGGTGGTGAACTCGGGGTGGTGGTGTCCCGTCGACACCCGGCCAGGAAACAACGTCGCTGTCGCGGCCGGGTAAACCACCCCGGCAGTCGCCAGGGCGTCAGCGCCTCCTGTCCCGCCTCGAACCACCCTGCCGGCTTCCTCTTCCCGGTCGCGACCACCGACCACCCCGAAACGATTGCCGAATCGTCTCGACGAGACTTTTCTCTTCTTCCCTGTGACACGACTAAATCACTCGTGTTTTCTTCTATTCCGCGGCTTCCACCCTGTTTACCCACGGCCTTATTTTATTTTTTTCTTCGTTTCCGCTGCAAGCGATACCCGTCGTCCTTTCTTCTATCCTTTCCTTTCCTTTCGCACCAACCGGATCGTGGCTTCACCAAAACTGTCGTAACACTTTCCTTCACTCACTCGCACACTGTACAAAGTCCGGGCGCCGTTAGGATTCGCGTTTCCAATGACATCCTTATTTCCGCGTGTACGATCAACGACATCCAACGCAACAACACCGGCCCAGTCTGTTGTTTCGCGAGAGACCGCGGGCGCGCGGTGCTTCGGGTGCCGTGAGACACGATCTCGACTGGCTCGTCCACTTGCCGCGCTACGAGGTCGATCGACGCTCGAGCGTTCTTCGATCGACCAGCGACACACTCGCGACGCGACGCGATACGATATCGTTTACGATCACTGCGATCCGTTCAACGGCCAGCCGAACAAAAATTTCCGCCAGCCACGTCGACGTTTCGTTTTCCCGCACTTTACACTCACGAGGTTGATATTCCGCAATGAAACACGGAAACGCAGCTTCTACGGGTCACCACTGAACACTTTGCTCGAACCGATACGTTGGACTAGGACGCGCTGTTTCGAAATCGAGGTCGCGATCGATATCGACATCGATATCGATATCGAGATCGAGATGTAGATGAAGATCGAGATCGAGATCGAAATTCAGATCGGAATCGGGTACGCGGTCGCGAACGCGCACACGCGGTAGATCAGCCGCGTATCCTCTTGTCGGTGTATTCGAGGTATCGTGGCATATCGACGCTGGGTAGATGCGCGGTGGCGCGAGCCACCGTGACACAAGGCAGAGAGGGTGTGTGCGGTACGCACACTGGAGGGTAGATGGTTGGATGAGTGGGTGGTGGGGAAGAGGGTCGATTGGGGATAGGGAGAAGAGAAGCGATACGAGAGGGGAGAAGGGTGTGAGATATATATGTATATAGAGTGAGAGAGAGAGGGAATGAAAGACAGATAGAGAGAGATTGGGTGAGCGAGAGGGGGAGGGAGAGGGAATGAGAAACAGCGAGCGAATGGGTACGTTACTGGTGGAAAGAGAAACGAAGAGGAGCAGAGACAGCGACAGAGAAGAACGGAGAAGGAGAGAAAGAAGGAGCGCGCGCGCGCGCGCGACCCAGTCGATAAGCTGCGCGTGTGCCTCCGTGCCTCTGTGTTCCCGACGCGCTCGTGCCGCGACACAAGTAGGAGGAGGAGAAGAGAGGTGATACTCGACTACCGCCTCGATACGACTATTCTTGGGGCCGACCAGAGACCGACTGCCGACTAAGACGACCCCTGACACCGACCTGCCCCCCACCAGACCGAACTCTCTCGCGGGTTTCTCGCGGGTTTTCGCCAGTTGCCATGACTACCGAAGGTGGGGTCGAGTCCCGGGCGCGCCCCGATGCGCCTCTCATTGGCTGCGAACCTGCCCTACCCTCGCGCCCTCCGACCGCTCTCCTTCCCGCTTCGTTCTAGCGGAGTCGCCGAGCGTCCTTCCGTGTCCACTTTGCCGCCGAGGAGCATACGCTCTCTCCTTCCCTTCCTAGTCTTCTTTTTGCTTTTTCCCTTTCGTTGCTTCGCTCTTTCGTTCGTTCGTTCGTTCGTTGGTTCGTCGTTCGTTCATCCGTTCGTTCGTTTTAACTCTCCTTCTCGCTCCAGCCGTCGCATTTCCTTCTTTTCTATCCTTCTCGTCTAACAATTGCACCTTCCCTGTTCTTTCCGTGGTCAATCGGGGGGTCCTTTGCATCTCTTTTTACGTTCTTTTTCCACGTAACGGATTACCGAGCGTACCGATCTTTTTTATACACCCGTCGAAATCGAACCAGTTTTACAGGCGCAACGTATCGTTCGTATCTTTGTGGTCCCTTCCTTGTCTCGTAAAAGCTCTTTATCGCAGACGCTCCAAGGGATCCGTTACTTTTTTGCACCCATCGTGTGTCCCGTTAACGAACGAAATGCCCCGACAAGCACGATGTCCCGCTATTCGGCTATTTCCTATACGTATGCGCCGTCATGTCACATATACCGAAAAATTGTCATCGTCGATCGTTTAGCGTGGATCGGAACATGAAGAAACTACATTACCTTGTCCGTTAAACGTAAGCACGAATGAATTACATAAACTTGGAATTTCTTGGGCGACAGCACCCAAATATGCTGTACATATGTACAAATTCGGTTACCGATCGCTGTTGCCTTTTTCCCGAAACGGAACTGTCTGTGTCGCTTCGATCGTTAAAATCGTTAAAAGTTACCCTTATTCGGTACTATGACAGACGTACAATTTACGTTCGTTAGTTAAACAACCGCAGAAATTGGACTGAGGGAAACGCAACGAGGAAACAAAATATTCCTCGGATGGTCAGGAAAGGAAAAATTTCCTCGAAAAAATACGGGACTCGTCAAGGTCGGAGGACTAACTCATACATAGGTATATACCATCCAACGTCACGGTAGCATATAACGTTACGACGAGAAGAGAGTGTCGTTGCCCGTCTTTCGCGGATTTTCTTAGGTTTCCTTGGATACTTTTACGGACGGGTATTCTAGGTGGATCGAGATGCCATCCGGAAAACGGAGGAGGAAGAGAGGTCACGGGGCGAGAGGGCGGCGACCAATCGGGACGAGGAGTCAAGTGGGGCGCGAAAAATGGGCCGGGCCGCTTCCATCCACCCCCGGGGGCTGACGGTGAGGGTAAGGGTGGCCGCGAGCGTGGAGTAGGGTAAGCCGACAGCCTCGAAGACGACCGGGCCGTCGTCGTAGGGTCAGTCGGGTCGCAGGCCTGCACCTTTGCGTTTCTGCGTCTTTGCGCTTTCGTGCTCTCGTGCTCTTTCACTTTTGCCCTCCACTCCCTCGACCTTTCCCTGCTATCTCGTACGTTCTATCCTGGAGCGGTTTGCCTGACACGAATTAAATTTACACGAGTGTTAAATCTAACTCCGTGATTACTGCTGCTAATCATAGTACCAATCAATTAAATCGGTTCACTTTATCGAGGTTGTTCCGGCTATTTCTATCACAAATCCGGTAAAAAAAATATATCTTATATGTATGTAACCGACGCTGATGCGAAAACGGTTTCGTTAACATTCGTATAAATGCTAAACGAATTTAGTTCACCGTTATGCTCCTTTGCAAATTAAAGTGGCGCGATAGGCTAAAATGATGTGTATAAATAATGTGTATACATTCTTCGAAAGTAGGTATTTCTAACACTATAAATACCTACATAGGTATTTATATCCTGCATACGTTTGAAGATGTCCATGCTGATCAAGGAAAGCGACGTTTGTCCAGTTATACGTGGGCATCGTTTCCGTCAGGACGATTTACTTAAGCAAACGGTTGTTTTTACCCTATTGTTATAAGAAAATTTGATCCATTCCATTGATACGAAGGCGTATCTATAATAGTGCTGGAAAGACCCTACGAACAAACACATGTCTTTTATAGTTTCGCAAAATATTAACAGTTAGACTCCTCGATCTCGTCAAGTTTTTACACGAATGAACTTTTCACGTGTATAAACTTTCGTTGTTATAAGTTTCTGACAACGTTTTCCCAAGCTTTACGTAAAATTTCACATTGCAACGCTGCTCCCGCAAATCACTCGTCACGAAATCGGCAAACAAGTGGTAAAAGCCATTGATGACGTCGAGGGTCAAATTTAGTCTGCTTTCACTCGCGGTCTAACGCTTCGCGCGACTTTGCTCACCGTACGACCGAGTAGCCGCGATTTTGTCGTTCTTGCGTTTGACTCTTGGCGCCATTTTTAGCTCTCTTGTCTAGCGCCTCTCTAGGCGAGCAACGAAATATCTGTTTGCTACTGAAACCACGAAAGGCGCTTCACCGTGTACGAAGTTTTCGTTCGACAATGAAAATTTAATTACAAATTTCCTAACTGCTAACTCTTGACACACGATAGAGAATACATTCGATGTAAAGTTTATGCTTTGCTTTCATACAATTTCGACTTGTGTTGCAACACTAACGATTCTGTACTTTCGTGTACAATGATAATTTCTTATTTATTAAGCCCTGACACTTCAAGACGTACCTATACATGCTGCTTGGCATCGTACTATGTCTATTCTTTTCCTTCTTTTTTTACCTATGCTCCTTATTTTTTACCTGTAACCGACAATCAGTGGTGTTTGCATCGATACGATATATTTGTATCGGTAATATATTTTTCAATCATCTGAACGATCGTAGGTATCTATACAATTGTTTGGATAGCATTAACGAAGTTCAGATTTGCGGTCGAAGAACGACGAGGAACCGAGTAATCCGTGGCACGTGCCGCATTGCCGCAAAAACCGCGCGAATCGAAGCGATCGAGGAAGAAAGATATATCAACTGCAAGGCTACAGGGGCAATAGCTGAGAAGACACCGCTCGCGGTTCGCCGTGTAATAGAGAAGGCCTCGGGTAACCGCAATTTGATCGGTGGTAGAACAAGGACAGCAATGAACGAGAACGAGGGCGAGAGCGAGAGCAAGAGCGCCTAATGGTCGTGTCGAGTGTAGACCATCCTGTAGGGAT